CATAGCTAATGATGTTTGAAGAACATGAGTTTTTTTTTTAAAGATTTATTTTTACTTACTTGAAATACAGTTACAGAGAGAGCTAGAGACACAGAAGTCTTCCATCTGCTGGTTCACTCCACAAATGGTCCCAAAGGCTGGAGTTGAGCTGATCTGGAGCCAGGAGCTTCTTCCTGGTCTCCCATGTGGGTGCAAGGGCCCAAGAACTTGGGCCATCCTCCACTGCTTTCTCAGGCCGTAGCAGAGAGCTGGATCAGAAGAGGAGCAGCCGGGACTGTAACCAACACCCATGTGGGATGCTGGCGCTTCAGGCTGGAGCTTTAACCTGCTGTGCTACACAGCCGGCCTGCATTTTCTTGTACCAGTCCCCTTAAGACCTCATTTGTTCTCATGAGGTAGAGTGGAATAGGGTTAAGGAAGACAGAGCAGGAAAGAAGTTCTTTTTCACTGGTAGAATTGGGTGGGACTCTGTCCCCTGTATGTGTAAGATCTAGAGCTCCAACTTTTGTGTTGCTACCAGTGTACTATGTTTGACACTTAACTATTGCTAATTGAAATCATAGGTGAAAGTCTGGTTCTTAAATTTTAATTAAAACATTTATTTAAAATATTTGAAAGACGGAATGACAGAGACATACATCTTACATCTGCTGATTCATTTCCCATATGGCTGCCACAGGTGGGGTTGGGCCAGGCTGAAGCCAGGAGCCAAGAACTCCATTGGGATCTCCCATGTGAGTGGCAGGGACCCGAGCACTTGGACCATCCTCCACTGCGTTGCCAGTTGCATTAGCAGGGAGCTGGATTAGTAGCAGGGACTTGAGCTGTGATGCAGGATGTGCCACAACAGGGGCCCCTAAATTCTAACTTTAGATGAAACTGCTTACTATCCGTAACTGGGATTTAAGGATTACTGGTAGGCATGAACCGGTTCCTGCCAAGTTTCTGATTATTCTGTCTGCACTGCTGTCATGTCAGATGACCGTCGGCTTGAGTCCCAGGTATAGTTGGTTAGGTTTGGAGAAGATAGCATATTTTTCATCCCGTGAGGTGAGTGCTTTCAAAATTTAGACTCTGGCTTATTAACTCACATTTCCTTTTCTCAGAAACTTTACTTCACCTTTAATTTATTTAGTCTTCTTTAAAGTAAACTGATGATCCTACTTGACAAGAAATAATTTTTTCTAAGTACCTGCAGGTTTTTAAATTACTCAGATAATAAGTCTAGAAAATAATAATTATGTATGTTTAGGTCAGAATCTTGGGGTGGAATCCCTTAAAAGCTCATTTTGGTGATTCCTATGAATAACTGTAAAAGGATGAAAATGAACAATTCCACTTCCTAAAGCTACTGTTAACAGCCAGGTATGGTTCCTTTCCAGACATGTTTCTATTAATTACATTTTTTTTTTTATAAACAAGATTAAACTGTTGGGAAAATCTGATTTGGATCCAACTGAGGCTCATGCTGTGATCTTGTAACTTTGTAAATTAACACTACCCCATTGAGGATAAACTCAATGGATTTTTTTTTTTTTTTTTTTTTTTTTTTTTTTTTTTTTTGCCAAGGACTATTTGTGAACCTCTTTAAGTTATTTAGTTATATGTGGTGCTCAGGTTTTATTTTGCTTTTTATTTTAAGCTGGTAAACTTTGGCATTTAAGTGTTTCTCACCAGGGTTCTGTATTCAATTTGGGACCCCCCCCCCAATGTTTTTGAATCTACAGTAGAAAAAAATGGGACAAAGAATGCGAATAGGCTCGTTTCATGAAATACACATGACCACCAGATTGAAAAAGCTGTTGATAGTTATCAGAGAGATTCATATTTAAAGTGAGAAACCGTTTTGAACCTGTAATTGAAGAGAATTTATTCAGCTCAGGTTTAACAAGAATGTAGTGAACCAGACATTGTTTTTATGGTGCTATTAGGATATAAATTGATTGGTATAACAGTTCTGGAAAGCAATTTAAGAATGTATAAAAGGCTTTAGTGATCATACTTTTATCTGTTAATTCCACTTTAAACATTTCACATAATTAATTGGATAGCCTCTCAAAAGAGGCTATATTCCCATAATATCAAACTATCAAAACCAGATGTCATCTAGGTGTAACAGCAGTAGGAGATTGACTCTTACAAGAGCATGGTTAATAGTAGTTAGTATAGCCATTTTTCATGCTTTTGAACACTGGAAATGCATGCAGATGCTCATGAAGTAATAAGACAGCATGTTTTGTGTGCTAGTCATTTTATATAAATGTAAGTATATGGGGCTGGTGTTGTGATATAGCTGGTTGTCACCACCTGCAGCACCAGCATCCCATATGGACATGCCAGTTCAAGTCCCAGCTGGTCCACTTCCAATCCAGCTCCCTGCTAATGCACCTGGGAAAGCAGTGAGGGATGGCTCAGGTGTTTGGGCCCCAGGACCCATGTGGGAGACCCTGGTGAAGCTCCTGGCTTTGGCCTGACCCAGGCCTGGCCTTTATGGCCATTTGAGGAGTGAACCAGCAAAAAATCAATCTCAATCTCTCTCCCACTCTCTCAATCTCTCTCTCGCTCTCTCAATCTCTCTCTCGCTCTCTCAATCTCTCTCTCGCTCTCTCAGTCTCTCTCTCGCTCTCTCAGTCTCTCTCTCGCTCTCAGTCTCTCTCTCGCTCTCTCAGTCTCTCTCTCGCTCTCGCGCGCGCTCTCGCACTCTCGCGCGCGCTCTCGCACTCTCTCGCGCGCTCTCGCACTCTCTCGCGCGCTCTCGCTCTCTCGCGCGCTCTCTCTCGCGCGCTCTCGTTCTCTCTCGCTCGTTCTCTCTCTCTCGCTCGTTCTCTCTCGCTCGTTCTCTCTCGCTCGTTCTCTCTCGCTCGTTCTCTCTCGCTCGTTCTCTCTCGCTCGTTCTCGCTCGCTCGTTCTCTCTCGCTCGTTCTCGCTCGCTCGTTCTCGCTCGCTCGTTCTCGCTCGCTCGTTCTCGCTCGCTCGTTCTCGCTCGCTCGTTCTCGCTCGCTCGTTCTCTCTCGCTCGCTCGTTCTCTCTCGCTCGCTCGTTCTCTCTCGCTCGCTCGTTCTCTCGCTCGCTCGTTCTCTCTCGTTCTCTCTCTCCCTCCCTCCCTCTTTTCATTCTCATTTTCTTTTGGTGTGTCTCTAACTCTGCCTTTCAAATCTTTTTTTTAAAGATGTTAAGTGTATAAAGTGGAGACTAAAAGGAAACTAAATATTAATAGCTTGATGTTCTGTGATACTGGGAATTTTATTTTTAAAGCCAAGTATCAAAACCAGGTACTTCAAGATGGGACGAGGTGTCTTAATTGGCAACTTGGCCACCAGGCCAAATGCCCACCCCACTGGCAACTGTAAATTGTTCTATATTGTCAAAATTGAACATGTATGTTTTTCAGAAATTTTATTTATTTGTAAAACAGAGTGACAGAAGAAGAGAGACACACAGAGAGTGCTTCCATCTGCTTGTTCACTCCCCAGGTGGTCACAGCAGTTGGTAGGGCTAGGCCAAAACCCAGAGCCAGGATCTCTACACTAGTCTCCCACATGGGTGGCAGGGCCCAATACCTGGACCATCTTTTGCTGCCTTTCCAGGCATGTTATCAGGAAGCTGGATCGGAAGTGGAGCAGCTGGAACTTGAACCAGCAGTCTGATACAGGATGTCAGTATGGCAAGTGAAAGCTTCAACTGCTGTGCTACCGTGCTACCCCAGATACATACTCTTTAGGAGTAATCAGAAAATCAAGAATAGGGTTTTTTTTTTTTTTTAAAGATTTATTTTATTTATTTGAAAGAGTTAGAGAGAGGTAGGGACAGAGAGAGAGGTCTTCCATCCGCTGGTTCACTCCCCAGATGGCCGCAGTGGCCAGAGCTGTGCTGATCTGAAGCCAGAGCTTCTTCCCGGTCTCCCACGCAGGTGCAGGGGCCCAAGGACTTGGGCCTTCTGCTGCTGCTATCCCAGGCCACAGCAGAGAGCTGGATGGGAAGAGGAGCAGCTGTGACTAGAACCGGCGCCCATATGGGATGGTGGTGCTCTAGGCCAGGGTTAACCCACTGCGCCACTACGCCGGCCCCAAGAATAGTGTTTTTTTTTGTTTGTTTGTTTTTTTTTTTTTTTTTTTTTTTTTTTTAAGATTTATTTATTTGAAAGGCTGAGAGAGGTCTTCCATCTGCTGGTTCACTCCCCAGATGGCTGCAATGGCTTGAGCTGTGCCCATCTGAAGCCAGGAGCTTCTTCCCAGTCTTCCACACAGTTGCAGGGGCGCAAGCATTTGGGCCATCTTCCACTGCTTTGCCAGGCCATAGCAGAGAGCTGGATCGGAAATGGAGCAGCCAGGACTAGAACAGGTGTCCATATGGGATGCTGGCACTGCAGGTGACAGCTTTACTCACTATGCCACTGTGCCAGCCCTAAGAATAATTTTAAAAAGCATATAGTTCAAGCTGATCTAATATGCTATTAGAGCTTAGCCTCTTTTCTGTTAATTTATTTGGCCTCTAGAATGTAAAATACATTGTTTTGCCTTTATATTGCTTGATTATCTGCCAAGGCTTGGGCCAGTCTCTTAGAATATAAAATCTGGCTGTGTTCTAGTAATTAAAAGTAATTTAAAGGTAATAATGTCTTATCTCAGGATAAAATACTTTGCCCAAATATAGAATGGCTGTTTATTTTCCTGTTACTTTATCAGAATGGACTTTTACAAGAGCAGTGATTAAGCTCTATGGAAAAGACTTATATACTGAGAATCTATGTGATTTGGTCTGTGTTGTATTTTTCCTGAGGGAGAGACTTCTTAGGCTGTCATTTCAAACAAAACAAAGACCCCACCTCACTATGTGTTATCTTGTTCAAAGCATTAGTTCTCAGTCCCAAGCCAGATTTCTTGGAGGTTGTAGAAGGGTTTATTAACCTTGTTTAAATATGTTTTGTTGGGAGGTAGAGAGCGATTAGCTGACCATTTCTGTCATATCTTAACTAACAATTTTGTGTTTCTTGCTTTCAGATGGAAAGAACTCGAGTGGATCCAAGCGTTATAATCGCAAACGTGAACCTTCCTACCCCAAAAATGAAAATTTTAGCAACCAGCCCCGTCGCCCCAGTTCACAGAAAAGCAAAACTTTTAACAAGATGCCTCCTGAAAGGGGTGGCGGCAGCAGCAAACTCTTTAGCTCTTCTTTTAATGGTGGAAGACGAGATGAGGTATGGAATTGGAGGTTGTTCTTTCTAGAATATAAGAAACATGAGATTTGAGTTTTTCTTTTCCTCCTCAGTTTACCAGTAATTAATGAGGAGAGCAAGAGGTAGAAGAATAGATAACCAGAACAGTCTTGACTAGTTGAGGAATAACTAGATTCTGAACTTTGCCTTCTTTCCCTGAAAGTTGTAAAAATTAGAGGAAGAAGCCATCATAATTATAGGTTGGAGTTATGCCGCTCTCTGACACCGGCATCCCATGTGGGTGCTGGTTTGAGTCTCAGCTGCTCCATTTCCAATCTAGCTTCCTACTGATGCACCTGGGAAAGCTGCAGAAGATGGCTCAAGTACTTTGGCCCTTGCCACCCATGTGTGAGACCTGGATGGAATTCCAGGCATTTGGCACCATTGCAGCCATTTGGGGAGTGAACCAACCAATGGAAGATTGATCTCTCTGTCTCTGTATCTCCAGCTCTGTGTATCTCTCTGTCTGCCTTTAAAAAATTTTTTTAAAAAATCATAGATTTAAATAACCATTGGTTGTGAGAAAGTGTGGAAAATTTGAGGTACCTTAATTTATGTAGTACTTGTGAACTGTAGGTATACTTTGGAATATGTAGGTTAAAAACATGACTGTAAGGGGCTGGCTGGCACTGTGGTTTAGTAGGTAAAGCCGCTGTCTGCAGTGCCGGCATCCCATATGGGTGCTAGTGTGTGACCTGGCTGTTCTCCTTCTGATCCAGCTCTCTGCTATTGCCTGGGAAAGCAGTGGAAGATGGCCCGAGTCCTTGGGCCCCTGCACTCATGTAGGATACCTGGAAGAAGCTGGCTCCTGGCTTCGGATCGGCCCAGCTCCGGTCATTGCAGCCATTTGGGGAGTGAACCAGTAGATGAAAGATCGCGCTCTGCCTCGCTGTAATTCTGCCTTTCTTTTCTTTTCCTTCCCCTTCTCTTTCCTTTCCTTTCTCTGTAATTCCGACTTTCAAATGAAGAGAAGGAGAGGCAGAGAGAGAGGTCTTTCATCCACTGGTTCACTCCCCAGTTGGCCACAAAGATTCGAACCAGCACACACATGGGATGCTGGCACTGCAGATGGTGGCTTTACCTGTTAATGCCACAGCACTGGCCCCCTTCTTGGCCTTTTCACTGAGACACTCTTCCCCGAAATCATAGTGTGTGCTCCTTTGGGTTCTTTCAAGTCTTTCTCAAATCCATCTCCCTCAGATAAATTTTCCTTAGCCATCTTGTGAAACTACTCATTGTATCTATTCATTTCCCTCAGTCTACTTTTTTAAAATCAGTAAGCACTCACCAGCAGATTTATTAAATTGTGGTTTATTGTGTCTCAAACTAGAATTTAAGCACCAAAAGGACAGTGTTCAATGTTATATTCCAAATTCCTGAGTGGCATTGGTGTATAATATGTGAGAAGTAAATATTTTATGAATGAAAGATTTTTCCTTGAATAGGCCCATTAAATCTTTCCCTTCTTTCCTCCCTTTCTTCCTTTCTTCATTTTTTGACAGGCAGAGTGACACACAAAGATCTTCCATACTCTGGTTTGCTCCCCAAATGACTGCAATAGCCAGGTCTGGATCAGTTTGTGCCAGGAGCCAGCAACTCTATTCTGGTCTCCCAGATGGGTGACAGGGACCCTAGTAATTGGGCTATCTTTTGCTGCCTTCCCAGGTACATTAGCAAGAAACTGGATTGGAAGTAGGTCAGCAGGGACTTGAACCAAGCACTTTAATATGGGATTCTGGCATTGCAAGTATTAGCTTAATCTGCACAATACCAGCATCAAATGAAATTAATTGACCTAGTATATCCAAAATGTAATTTGACCATGTATCACAGACTATAGTTCATCCATGGCAGCATCTGGCTAGTAGCTACTATATTGGTCAGCATAGCTCTGGAAGGTAAACTGTAGGAGTAGATGGTTAAGATAGGGTGCAGGGCAAGCTGACTGGAAGAAAGGAGATCAGAGAGCTGAGAGGTCAGTGTTTTGGAAGGATAGTCGGGATTTACAGTGGTTGGTGTAATAGTGACATTGACGGCAAGGTGAGGTGACAGCTGTGACAAGGTGAAGGTGCAAGAGTGAGAATTTCGGAGGTTAATTGATCTTAGATCTAAGTTTGGGGCTTTGTGGTAACTAGGGAAGGTTGGAGCCATATGGTGATGAGAGTCTGGGGGATGACAAAAGGGTGACCTGGGAGTTCTGGACTTCCTGTTGTGACTTTCATAAACAGAATATGGGCTTAGCTCCAAGATCTATTGGGATAAAAAAGGAAGTTGTTAAACTGCGGTAGTTACTAGTTGTGTACATTTTCAAAGGTCATATACTGTGAATCTATATGCTCGGAATATCTCAGAGGGTGTATTCAATGCCTCTGGGATGGAAGGTATCTTTTGCCATATCCCTTTTTTACTCTTTTCCCATGTAGGTATAAGTGCTGCTTACTAAAAATCTCCAAATTTTATTAAGCAGAAAAGCCTTACATCTTTATTTCCTTTGATCCAATAATTCCTCCTGCACTTGCAAAAGAAATGTGGGTACCCAAGCATTTGTACCCAAAGAGCCACCCAAAAATGTGTTTATTACATTATTTTGTTGGGGTGGGAAAGCCTCAAACAATTGGCATATAATAGACTCAGCCCATATAATGTAATGGTATGTAGTCATTTAAAGTGGCAGTATACTAATGTGATGTGGCGGAATATTTGTAACATTAAAAGGGAAGTGGGATTGGGAAATGCACCAGCTGATTTATAGCTTGGTTCCGTACCACTTCAGTTTGGGTGTGTTAAGGGGACCAAAATATTCCCTGATGTGATTTCTTCCATCTTTGTGGGCAACTATAGTTCTCATATGGATGGTTTCTTGTCATGTTCTAAACTGTTTCTGAATCTGCTGGTTGGGTTTATTTCTAGATGTAACATGTGTGCCCTACATGTTCTCTATCAGTTTTTTAAAATTTGTTTATTTGACAGTCAGAGAGGCAGGTGCAGGTTTATTCATTATTTGAAAGGCAGAGACGAGACACCTTCCCTCTGTTGGTTCACTCTCCAAATGGCAGCAACAGACAGGGCAAGGTCAGACAGAAGCTAGGAGCCAGGAACTCCATCCTGGCTTTCTGCATGGGTAGCAAGGAACCAAGTACTTGAGCCTTCTTTCATTGCCTTTCTAGGCACATTAGCAGAAAGCTGTATCAGAAGTGGATGTTCTGTTATGCGATGCCAGCATCACAAGCAGTGGCTTAACTTGCTGCACCAAACACCTGCCCCAGTTTTATTTATTTATTTTTTTCAAAGATTGATTTATTTGAAAGACAGAATACCAGGGAGATCTTCCATCTGCTGGCTTACTTCCCAGATAGCTTTTGGGGCTGGGCCAGGTCTCCTTGTGGGTGGCAGGGACCCCTGGATTTGGGCCACCATCTGCTGCTTGCCCAGGGGCATTAGCAGGGAACTGAATCAGAAGCATTGCAGCTGGTACTTGAACCTGTACTCTGATATGGGATGCTGGTGTTGCAAGTGGTGGCTAACCCTATTGCACTGCAATTTTAGTTAACAATTTTCTTTTTAAAGATCTTACTGATTTGAAAGACAAGAGATACAGAGAGAGGTAGAGACAGAGAGAGGTCCTCTATCCTCTGGTTCCCTCTCCAGATGGCTGCAATGGCTGGAGCTGCGCTGATCTGAAACCAGGAGCCAGGAGCTTCTTACAGGTCTCCCACACAGGTGCAGGGTCCTAAGGACTTGGGCCATCTTCCACTGCTATCCCAGACCATAGCAGAGAGCTGGATGGGAAGAGGAGCAGCTGGGACTAGAACCGGCGCCCACATGGGATGCCGGTGCTGATTCAGGCTAGGGCTTTAACCCTCTGCGCCACAGCACTGGCCCCTAGTTAACAATTTTAGTTAACAATAACAGTATGTATCTCAGAGGGAAGGTCTCTGGAATCCAGAAGTCCAAGGTAGTTAGTAATGTCAGACTGCAGGCTACTTCCAGATTGTGGCTTTACAAATCCCCTTTGCTAGAAACAAACCAAATATTAACAAGAGTGAAGGTATAGGAGTCCTGTGGAACTGTCTGAAGAGCAATCCAGTATGTGTGCCTTTGTGCTTTAAGATAGCTAGAGGGTTCGTGCTAGGTTTTGTCATTTCGAGGTTAATAGCCACTTAGAGCAGACTAAACAGTTTAAGTAATTGTATGGTAAAGGCTCTTTTTCTCTTCACTGCCATCCAGACCTTGGGTAGGCTATTGTATTACCACCTCCTAGGAAGATTGTTTACTTTAAGCCTGTTTTATTTAGTTAAATATTTTAAGCCATGTAGGAGTTGTGCTGGTTTCTGCTGTTGTCCTCATGTGAAATAATCTGATTCATTCTCATTCTCTCTAGGTAGCAGAGGCTCAACGGGCAGAGTTTAGCCCTGCCCAATTCTCTGGTCCTAAGAAGATCAACCTGAACCACTTGTTGAATTTCACTTTTGAGCCCCGTGGCCAAGCGGGTCACTTTGAAGGCAGTGGTCATGGCAGCTGGGGTAAAAGGAACAAGTGGGGACATAAGCCTTTCAACAAGGAACTCTTTTTACAGGCCAAGTGAGTATTGCTGCTCCGACAGAATGGTGAGGCTGAGTATCTAGGTAGCTGGATGCTGTGAGGAAGCTTCTTTTAAACTAGGGGAGAGAGCTAGAGAAGGAATTGCTCTGGTTTTTCTCTTTCCCTCTCCCTCCCTGTCATTCACTTTCCCTGTGGATATCCTTGGTACTTTAAAGACTACATTGCTTACATAAATGTCTTTAATATCATGATGAAGTAAAAGAAACGGTTAGAACTGGGCCCAGATTTTAATCTTATTTTGGCTGTTGACCTTTGAGCATAATTGTTTAATCATTGTGAGATAATTAGTTTCTATATAATGAGGATGAACTTATTTATTTATTTTTAGATGTATTTTTTGTTTACTTGAAAGGCAGAGTTAGAGATCTATCTTCTGCTGGTTTTCTTCCCAAATGGCCACAATGGCCAGGCCAAAGTCAGGAACATGGAGCTGCTTCTGCATCTCTCACGTGGATGCAGGTGCCCAAGCACTTAAGCCATGTTCTGCTGCTTTCTCAGGCACATTAGCTGGGAGGTGGATCAAATGGAGCAGCCGGGTCTCAAACCGGCCTCCATATGGAGGCTTAACCTGCTATGCTGTAATGCCGGCCCCAAGAAACTTTTTTTTTTTTTTTTTTAAATATTTATTTACTTGAGTTACACAGAGAGGAGAGGCAGAGAGAAAGAGGTCTTCCATCCGCTGGTTCACTTTCCAGTTGGCTGCAATGGCTTTAGCTATGCCAATCCAAAGCAAGGAGCCAAGAGCTTCTTCCGGTCTCCCACGTGGGTGTAGGGGCCCCAGGACTTGGGCCATCTTCTGCTTTCCCAGGCCACAGCAGAGAGCTGGATCAGAAGTAGAGCAAATGGGACTGGAACTGGCACCCATATGGAATGCCAGCACTGCAGGCAGTGGCTTTACCTGCTACACCACAGCACCAGCCCCAAGAAATTTTTTTTTAAAGATTTTATTTTAAAGTCAGAGTTACACAGACGGGAGAGGCAGAGAGAGAGAGAGAGAGAGAGGCAGAGAGAGAGAGAGAGAGAGAGGCAGAGAGAGAGAGAGAGAGAGGCAGAGAGAGAGAGAGAGAGAGGCAGAGAGAGAGAGAGAGAGAGGCAGAGAGAGAGAGAGAGAGAGGCAGAGAGAGAGAGAGGCAGAGAGAGAGAGAGGCAGAGAGAGAGAGAGAGAGAGAGGCAGAGAGAGAGAGGCGGAGAGAGAGAGAGGTCTTCCATCTGCTGGTTCACTCCACATTTGGCCGCAACGGCTGGAGCTGCACTGATTCGAAGCCAAGAGCTTCTTCTGGGTCTCCCACGTGGGTGCAGGGGCCCAAGGACTTGAGCTACTGCTTTCCCAGGCCATACTAGAGACCTGGATCGGAAGTGGAGCAGCTGGGTCTCAAACCGGCACCATATGGGATGGAGGCGCTTCAGGCCAGGGTGTTACCCACTGTGGCACAGTGCCGGCCCCAGAAACTTTCTTAAAAGGAGAATTTAATGACAAGTTGAGACAGTTGGTGTTCATATCTCAAGTACTGATTCTACTTTGCTTCCTTTTTTGTGGCATTAATCAAAATGCAAAATTTGACCTCAGATTTAGACTGAAGTAACCAATTTGTATTTTATGTATAAACTTGAGAGTGACTCAGAACAATTATTAATCTTAAATACTAGCCTAGCCATGTTCTGGGGTTCCAAGAGAGAGGGAGGGTGCTTGGCTTATTGGTGGTTGATAGAGCCACAAAGTAGGTTAATTTTAGTTCAGAGGAAACTAAGAGGGAATGTAGCCGGACTTGGAAGCAAAAGAAACAGTTGTGGGATTATATTTCTTCCTGCTGAGCCTTTGGATTCCTGCCAGAGCTCAGAGCTGCGGCTAAAGTTATAGTACTGTGCTTTGTGGTCCAGGGTTGCCAGTGACCTGCATGTGATTTCTAAGTGAACAGGTGATGAATTTCTGCAAAAGGCTCGTTAGTGGGTTCTGACAGTTTGCCTTTTCTCTGCCTTCCTCCCTGTTTCTAGCTGCCAATTTGTGGTGTCTGAAGACCAAGACTACACAGCTCATTTTGCTGATCCTGATACCTTAGTCAACTGGGACTTTGTGGAACAAGTGGTAAGTCACTCAGCCAAACTTGTGAGCTGTTAGTATGAGAGAGAACTAAAGAAAGGGGCTGTAGTGACATAGCAGCCATTGGCATTGTTTGCTGCCAACACCTTTTTCTGCCTATTGCACACGTTTTTCAGAAGTCAGTTGTTGGTTCTCCCTGCAATTCTTTGTGTGTTGGCAGTGCCCTGCAGTGATGGGATATAGAAGGATCTTACCTGAATATGTTCAAGAGGTCCTACTTCCCAGCTCCTCTGTCCTAGAAAGTGATAACTGGGGACTCTGAGGGATACCAGTTACCCTCCTTACCCCGGCTGGGGTTCATTACATGGACATTGCCTCATTGGCAGCTATTTGTAGTAGTCAGTATCAAATTAGGCCTCAGCTTTGTGGTAAGTGAATGAGTCACACAACTGTACTATCAAAGCCACAGCTACATTTTTAAATTAAAATAATTTTTTTAATTTATTTTTTTGAAAGGCAATTAGAGAAGGAGAGACACCTATCTTTTGTCCTCTGGTTCATTCCCCAAATGATTGCTAGGGCTGGGACTGGGCCAGTTGGAAACCAGGAGCTTTTTCTGGATCTCCTATGTGCATGGTAGGGGTCAAAGGACCTGGGCCATCTGCTGCTTTCACAGGCACATTAGCAAGGAGCTAGATTGGAAGTGGAGCAGCTGGGACTCAAATCGGTACCCATATGGAATGCTGGCACTGAAGGTAGTAGCTTAACCCAGTGTGCCATAGCATCGGCCCCTGCATTTGTTTTCCACTGAAGTTACAAACTCTAGGTATCCCCTTGCTGATCCTAATAGGATATCGATGTAAAATACCTTTCAAGATGATAGACACTACCCCCCCTCCCCCACCAATGAGTGAGGTCTTTTAAATGCAAAGCTTAGATTGGCATTACTGTGAAAATTCATAAACTCATCTGAGACTGACATAGAAGGACTATAAAACTGCATTGGTCTTAAAAAAATATACAGCGGTGGGCATTCGTTATAGTAGTTAAGCCACCACTTGGGATACCCATATAGTATGTCAGAGTGCCTGGGATCGGGTCTCACTTCTGCTTCCAATCCAGCTTCCTACTAATGGACTTACTGGAAGGCAGTTGATGATGGCTCAAGTGCTTAGGTCCCTGCCAACCATGTGGGAGAGCCCGATAGAGTTCCTGTCTATTGTAGGTATTTTGGGAGTGAACCAGCAGATGGAAGGTCGGTTGATATCTCTCTCTCTCTCTCTCTCTCTCTCTCTCTCTCTCTCTCTTTCTCCCCCTTTCAAATAAATAGGGGCCAGTATTGTGGCAAAGGTTAAATTCCTACTTGGAACACTGGCATCCCATATGGGCATCAGGTCCTGTTCTGGCTGTTCTTACTTTCCAGCTCCCTGCTAATGCTCCAGGGGAAGCATGGGAAGATGGCCTTAATGCTTGGACACCTGTCACTCATATGGGAGACCCGAAGGAGTGTCAGGCTCCTGGCTTTGTCCTGGCTCAGTCCAGGCCATTGTGGCCATTTGGGAATGAACCAGCAGATGGAGCATCTCTGTCCGTAACTCTGCCTTTCAATTAAAATAAAAATATCTTACAAAAAATAAGCTAGCTAAAAAATAGATGGGTGTTTGGCACAGCAGTCAAGCTGCTACCTCCGATGCCTGCATCCCTTATCAGAATGCCTATGTCTGAGTCCTGGCTTCCTGCTAGTGCGCAGCCTAGGAGGCAGCACTTGACAACTCAGGTGTTTGGTTGGATCCTTACCACATGTGGGAGACTGGATGAAGTTCTTGGCTGCTGGCTTTGGCTTGGCCTAGCTGTAGCTGTTTGTGCCATTTGAGGAGTGAACTAGTAGATGGGAGCTTGCTCTGTCTTTCTGCTTTTCAAAAGGAAAATGATAATAAATCATACGCGCGCACACACACACACTCACAGAATACAAAGCAAAAAGTCTTGCTAACTCCTGTTGGAAATTACTGGTAGATTATTTCTAGATCATTTTATGCCTTTAGGTGTGTGTACATATTAAGTCATTGTAAGTAGCATTATATAGTGATTTCCGTCTTTTTTTTTTGTTAATATGGAACAGCTAAAATACCTGTAAAAAATACTTCATGTTAAACCATTATTATAGTTTCTTTAATGATTTGCTTGAAGAACTTATGTACATCTGCATTTTAAAATAGTTCTTTGAAGATGTGTTGAAAGGAAATGGAAGAGGAGAGATTCTAAGTTTGACACACTCTGTAGTTACTTCTTTTTATTTCTTTGTTAACGATTTATTTATTTATTTATTTGAAAGTCAGAGTTGGAGAGGCAGAGTCAGAGAGAGAGCGGTCTTCATCCACTGGTTCACTCCCCAAATGGCTGTGATGGGTGGAGCAGGGCCAATCCAAAGCCAGGAGGCTGGAGCTTCTTCCGGGTATCCCATGTGGGTGCAGGGGCTCAAGCACTTGGGCCATCTTCTTTGATGCTTTCCCAGGCACATTAGCAGGGAACTGTATTGGAAGTAGAGCAGCCAGGACTTGAACCTGCACCCATATAGGACGTGAGCAGTGCATGCGGTGGCTGTATCTGCTGTGCCACAGTGCTGACTCCTCTCTAGTCACTTCTGAGAGCAGTGAAATTGTGGTTATGTTTTGTTTCAGCGCATCTGTAGCCATGAAGTGCCATCTTGCCCAATATGCCTCTACCCACCTACTGCAGCCAAGATAACCCGTTGTGGGCACATCTTCTGCTGGGCATGCATCCTGCACTATCTTTCACTGAGTGAGAAGACATGGAGTAAATGTCCCATCTGTTACAGTTCTGTGCATAAGAAAGATCTTAAGAGGTGAGGTTGAGACATTTAATAGAGTAGACCCCCATTTGCCAACTCCTTGATTTGCTGCATCTGATTGTCTGTGTTTCAGTGTTGTTGCCACAGAATCTCGCCAGTATGTTGTTGGTGACACCATTACAATGCAGCTAATGAAGAGGGAGAAAGGGGTTTTGGTGGCCTTGCCCAAATCCAAATGGATGAATGTAGACCATCCCATTCATCTAGGAGGTAAGTTCCCTTAGTTTTGGGACATAACTTTTAAAGCTATTGACTATATCTTTCTAGTGTCGGAAATAGATCCTCTGGGGCAAAGTTCTAGCACATCCACATTATTAGTAGGGCTTCAATAGGGTAGGGTGGAATTTGCAGAGTGGTTTAACTCTTGGCTTCCTATTTGGTTCAGGGGTGTGTGTGTGTGTGTCTATCATTTTACCAGCCTTTATTGAATAGTTTGCACTGTCCCCAGTCTTGGGGATTCCATAGTTAGCCAGTCTGGGTGCCTGTCTTCTTTTTCTTTTCTCTTTTCTTCTCTCTCTCTTTTTAAATCTGTTTTATGTATTTGAAATGCATTATGACAGAGAGGGACAGAGTGAGGGACAGAAAGATCTTCCATCTGCCTACTCACTTTCCAAATGGCCACAATAGGCCTAGGCCAGAACAAAGCCAGGAACTCCATTCTGGTCTCCCATGTGGGTGGCAGGGGCCCAAGTACTTGAGCTGTTGTCTGCTGCTTTGCCAGGTGCATTAGCAGAGAGCTGGATTGGAAGCGGGACAGCCAGAATTTCAGCCAGTGCTCTGATATGGAGTACTAGCATCACAGGCAGGGACTTACCCCACTGTACCACAGTGTTAGCCCCAGTTGTACCTGTTGTTGTCATTTTTTTTTTTTTTTTAATTTGAAAGGCAGAGTTACAGAGAGGCAGAGGCAGAAAGAGAGGTCTTCTATCTGCTAGTTCACTCCCCAGATGGCTGCTATGACTGGAGCTGCACCTATCCAAAGCCAGAAGCCAGGAGCTTCTTCCAGGTCTGCCACACAGGTGCAGGGGCCCAAGGAGTTGGGCTATCCTCTACTGCTTTCCTAGGCCATAGCAGCTGGATCAGAAGTGGAGCAAATGGGACTCGAACTGGCACCTCTATGGGATGCCAGCACTGTAGGCAGTGGCTTTACCCGCTATGCCACAGTGCCAGCTCTGCTCTGCTTCTGATCCAGCTTCCTGCTAATATGTGCCTGGGAAGGGTGCTGGTGCTGTGGCGCAGTGGGTTAATGCCCTGGACTGAAGTGTCAGCATCCCATATGGACGCCGGTTCGAGACTCGGTTGCTCTGCTTCAATCCAGCTCTCTGCTTTGGCCTGAGAAAACAGTAGAAGATGGCCCAAGTTCTTGGGCCCCTGCACCTGCGTGGGAGACCCAGAAGAGGCTCCTGGCTTCGGATTGGCACAGCTCCAGCCATTGTGGCCAAATGTGGAGTGAACCAGCGGATGGAAGACCTCTCTCTCTGCATCTCTTCTCTGTGTAACTCTGACTTTCAAATAAATCTTTAAAAAACAAACAAACAAACAAAAAAATCAGGTCATTTAAAGGGGTCTCAAGATAACATTATTTCAGACTGCTAAAAATTACAAAATTATGAGAGGGAAGCAAATGATTAAATCATCTGATCCTTTTATTCAGAGGTGCCTGAAATATTAACTACAAACTTTTACCCATGTGTGCATTGCAATGGGGTTTTTCTAGTCCAGCATTTAGAATGTATGTATCTCTACATATCATTTAGAATGTATGTATCTCTCCATATCATGAATTGCCCCTTATTAGAAAGCCACTTTTTTTTTTTTTTTTTGACAGTTAGAAAGGTCTTCCTTCCGTTGGTTCACCCTCCAAATGGCTGCTGCGGCCGGCGCACTGTGCCGATACGAAGCCAGGAGCTTCTTCCTGGTCTCCCATGCGGGTGCAGGGCCCAAGCACTTGGGCTATCCTCCACTGCCTTCCCAGGCTACACAGAGAGCTGGACTGGAAGAGGAGCAACCAGGACAGAATCCGGCGCCCTGACCGGGACTAGAACCCGGGGTGCCCGTGCCACAGGTGGAGGATTAGCCTAGTGAGCCACGGTGCTGGCCAGAAAGCCACTTTTTTGGAAAGATTTATTTATTTTATTTGAAAGAGTTACTCAGAGCAAGGAGAGGCAGAGAGAGAGAGGTCTTCCATCCAATGGTTCACCCCCATGTTGGCTGCAACAGCCGGAGCTGCTCCAATCTGAAGCCAGGAGCTTCTTCTGGGTCTCCCAGGCAGGTGCAGGGGCCCAAGGACTTGGGCTATGTTTTACTGGTTACCCAGGCCTTAGCAGAGAGCTGGATCAGAAGTGGAGCAGCTGGATCTTGAACCAGTGCGCATATGGGATGCTGGTGCTTCAGGCCAGGGCATTAGTCTGCTGTGCCACACCGCCAGCCCCAAGATAGCCATTTTTAAGTGTTCATACAAATCTGCTTAATTAATGCACCATCATGTAATCATTTCTGTATTGGCTTTACTGGTTGGTTTGAGCTTCTCTGATGTTACATACAGTACTATAATAGTCATGCGATTAAAATTTTTTTTTTTTTTTTAATTTTTGACAGGCAGAGTGGACAGTGAGAGAGAGAGACAGAGAAAGGTCTTCCTTTGCCGTTGGTTCACCCTCCAATGGCCGCCGCTGCAGCCGGCGCACCGCGCTGATCTGATGGCAGGAGCCAGGATCCAGGTGCTTTTCCTGGTCTCCCATGGGGTGCAGGGCCCAAGCACCTGGGCCATCCTCCACTGCACTCCCTGGCCATAGCAGAGAGCTGGCCTGGAAGAGGGGCAACCGGGACAGAATCTGGCGCCCCAACAGGGACTAGAACCCGGTGTGCCGGCGCCGCAAGGTGGAGGATTAGCCTATTGAGCCACGGCGCCGGCGCGATTAAATTTTAACTGCATCTCTGGAGTTCTTAGATTTTTTGCATTATAGGATTCGAGTTATGAATCTTATTTTAAGATCACTGTTAAATTATTGGAAATTATGCTGAATTATCCCATCTTCATCTCAGAAAATGGCTGTGATGAGAGTTGCTACTTAGCCCCAATCCTGGAGTGTCACGTTTTTGATCTTGCTGGCTTTTTGTTGTAGATGAACAGCACAGCCAGTACTCCAAGTTGCTGCTTGCCTCCAAGGAGCAGGTGCTGCAGCGGGTAGTTCTAGAAGAGAAAGTAGCACTGGAGCAGCAGCTGGCAGAAGAGAAGCACACTCCCGAGTCCTGCTTCATCGAGGCAGCTATCCAGGAGCTCAAGGTGAGAGGCTGCCGTGGAAAGTTAACGCTAGAGATGCTAATCTTTGCCACTCTGTCACCAGGCGGGGGTGAGTGGGTGGATGGCTGGGATAAGCCTACCCAGAAACAGGAATGGCTAAATTGCCAATTTGTTCTGTCAGATTTGTTTGTTTATGGGAAAGAAGAGCTGATCTAGAGGCTTTTCAAAAGCTCTTTGTAGATCTAAAACGAATAAATCAAGTTGTTTAACTGTGATAATGGAGTTTCTTAGATTAGCCGTCCTTAGTTAAGCAAAGTAGATTTTTCCTTCTTTTCTGGCATAACACTTAAATTTGTTTTTAGAAGTGTTTTATTTGAGCAACTTTGTTGGGCAGCAAAAATTACCCAAATAGAGACTTCCATAGGTCCTGTGTCCTCCAAACAATTTTTCTGTTTTCTTTCTTTCTTTCTTTCTTTTTTTTTTTTTTTTTTGACAGAATGGACAGTGAGAGAGAAAGGTCTTCCTTTTGCCGTTGGTTCACCCTCCAATGGCTGCCATGGCTGGCGCGCTGCGGCCGGCGCACCGCGCTGATCCGAAGGCAGGAGCCAGGTGCTTCTCCTGGTCTCCCATGGGGTGCAGGGCCCAAGCACTTGGGCCATCCTCCACTGCCTTCCCGGGCCACAGCAGAGAGCTGGCCTGGAAGAGGGGCAACCAGGAAAGAATCCGGCACCCCGATTTTTTCTGTTTTCATTTGAAAGGCAGAGAGACAGGAGATTTCCCATCTGCTCATTCAGTCGCTGAATGACTGCAACCACCAGGGTTGGGCCAGGCCAAAGCCAGGAGTCACTAACTTGGTCTGAGTCTCCCATGTGGGTGTCAGGGACCCAACTACTTGGGTATTGGCAGGAAGCTGAAATTGGAAGCTAGCAGGGATTCTATTCTAACCCAGGTGCTCTGATATGGGATATCAGTGTTCCAAGAAGTGACCTAACTGTTGGGTCAAACACCTTCCCCCTACAACAAGTTTACTTAAACTTGTATTGTCAGAATTAATGGATGTTAGGCTTCACCGTGAAAGATTATTTTTAGTAGGTCTGGTCTAGGCTCAGTAAGCTCAGTGTGTTTTTTTTTTTTTTTTAAAGATTTATTTCAAAGAGTTACACAAAGAGAGGTCTTCCCTCTGCTGGTTCACTCTCTAATTGGCCACAATGGCTGGAGCTGGGCCGATCTGGAGCCAGAAGCCAGGAGCTTCTTTCAGGTCTCCCATGCGGTGCAAGGGCCCAAGGACTTGGGCCATCTTCTACTGTTTTCCTAGGCCATAGCAGAGAGCTGGGTCATAAATGGAGCAGCTGGGACTCGAACCGGCGTCCATATGGAATGCCAGCACTGCAGGTAGCAGCTTTAATTGCTGTGCCACAGTGCCGGCCCCAGTAATTTATGTTACAGTGGATTCCAGGGTGATTCTGCTATTGCTAATCCTTAATCCACACATTGAGTACCACTGATGTGGACAGCAGTAAACCTTCTCGTGTATTCAGTGATTAGCATGTGACTGCGTGACTGCTCCTTCATTTATCTTTTTTTTTTTTTTTTTTTTTTTTTTTTCAAGATTTATTTATGTATTTGAAAGAGTTACACAGAGAAAGAGAGGCAGAGAGAGGTCTTCTGTCCTCTGGTTCACTCCCCAATTGTCTGCAGTGGCTGGAGCTGTGCTATTCAAAGCCAGCAGCTTCCTCCAGGTCTTCCCGCACAAGTGCAGGGGCTCAAGGAGTTGGGCCACCCTCGACCACTCTCCCAGGCCATAGCAGAGAGCTGGATTAGAAATGGAGCAGCCAGGACTTGAACTGATGCCCATATGGGATGCTGGCACTGCAAGTGGCAGTTTTACCTGCTATGCCACAGCACTGGCCCCTCCCTCATTTATCTTACTTATGCTTCAGATCCTGGTGTGGCAGATGTAACTCTAATTTTACAGGTAGAGAAATGGAATTATGGTTAGGCAGTTTGCTTCAGGACACAGCTAATGAATTGTGAAGCTGCTACTTGAATTCTTATCTCTGACTTCCAAGTCTGCCTTGGGCAGTGTCCTGTATATTTTCTTTTTTCCCCTCCCTGCCTCCCTCCCTCCTGGCCCCCCATTAGAGTTAGAGGGAGAGACAGAGATCTTATATCCCTTGGTTCACTCCCCAAATGGCTGCAATGGCCAGGGCTGATCCAGGTAGAAGCCAGGAGCCTGGAGCTTCTTCTGGGTCTCCCATGTAGGTTCAGAGGCCCAAGCACTTGGGCCATCCACCACTACTTTCCTCGGCACATCAGCAGGGAGCTAGGTTGGAAGTAGAGCAGACAAAAAAATGAACCAGCACTGCAGATGGCAGCTTAATCTGCACCACAATGCTGGCCACTATTTTTTTTCTCGTAACTTTTTTGAGAGGTAGAGTTATAGACCGGAAAGACAGAGAAAGGCCTTCCATGCACTGGGTCACTCCCCAAATGGCTGTAACGACTGGAGCTGTGCAGATCCAAAGCCAGGAGCTTCTTCTGGGTCTCCCACATGGGTGCAGGGCCCAGGTACTTGGGCCATCTTCCACTGCTTTCCTAGGCCATGGCAGGGAGCTGGATTGGAAGAGGAGCAACATGGTATGTTGCCGCTGCAGGTGGAGGCTTAGCGCAGCATAGTAGGGCCCCATCCCCTAGTTTTTTAAAATTTTCTTTTTACATTGGAACATTTTCTGTTTACATGATAGAAGAAAGGTATCTAAAATTAGAGCTGTCCTGGTTAAGGTGGGGTTAGTTACCCAGTTCTTTTCTGGGCTTCCTCTGAGCATAGTTTATAAAAAGTAGGAGACTAATTCTGTGTTCTTGTATTTCAGGACTTTTGTAAGTAGTGTAGTCTGTCAGAGGTTCTCAGCAGAATACAGTTCTTTTTGGGTACAAAATCATTTTTGTTTCCTAATTCCTTCAAAGATTATACATTATAAGTGCCTGACTAAACCTTTCCCATTGGGTCTTGTTGCCTTTTAACCTCTGCTCCTGTTGAAGTCTTTTTAAGCCTTTGCCCTTCACACAAGTATGCTTCTGGAAACAGCTTTCTCTGCTCTTCTCTCTGTGGCCTTAGACTCGGGAAGAGGCTCTGTCAGGATTGGCTGAAGGCAGAGAGGAGGTCACTGGTGTCGTGGCTGCTCTGGAACAACTGGTGCTGATGGCTCCCTTGGCGAAGGAGTCTGTTTATCAACCTAGGAAGGTTAGTGTGTCCCTCTTAATACCTGGCTACCATTCCTTGAGTGATGCTGTTGAGCTGGTTGACACCACTGTGAAATCCGAACGTCCCAGGAGAAGAGGGACTATGCTCCCTGTGTGCTTAGTCTTTCTGCGAGAGTGTCAAATCAGTGAAGGGGACAGCTAACAGAAATATCCAGGGAACTTGGCGCTTTTAAAAAATTGAGAGGCAGAGAGAAAAACAAAGATAGAACTCCCATCTACTGTTTCACTCTCCAAATGCCCACAACAGCTGGGGCTAGGTCAAGGTGAAACCAGGAGCCTGGTACTCAATCGTGGTCTTCCACGTGGGTGGCTGGACCCAATTACTTGACCCATAACTTGAACAGAAGCACTCTGATAAGGAGTGTGGGTGTCCCATCCAGCAGCTTAACCACTAGGCCAAATGCCTGCCCTAGGAGCTTTGCTTTATGCCGACCTTCACCACATTACCAAAAATTTAGTTTTTCATTTTATTTGAAAGAGGCTGAAATTTTCCATTTGTTTGTTTATTCCCCAAACGCTTGCAACCACCATGGTTGTGCCAGGGTGAAGCCAGGACCTCAGAATTCAGTCCAGATCTCCCATGTAGGTGGCAGGGACTTAAGTACTTGAGCTACCACCCATTGCGTTCCAGGGTGCACATTATCAGGAAGCTAGTGAGGAGTGGAGCTGGGCCTTAAACCCAGCCTCTCCAGCAGAGGCTGTGGGTGTCCCAAGTGAGTTTTATAAGCTGTGCCAGACACCTGCCCCACATAACTTCTTGATAGCTGGACATAATCTTAGACTTCCTGTTGATCTAGAGTTTGTTCTAACAGGGTGTGCTAGAGTATCTGTCTGCCTTTGATGAAGAAACCACTGAAGTGTGTTCGCTGGACTGTCCGTCCCGTCTTGCTCTCCCTGTGGTAGAGGAAGAGGAAACAGTGTCTGAACCAGAGCCTGAAGGATTGTCAGGGGCCTGTGATCACTCGGAATTAGCAGATGACAATCTTGGGGAGGGGACCATTTGCATTGAGTCCAGCCAGCAGGAACCCATCATCAAGCCAGGCATCACACACCTCAGCAGCTCTCCTTGTTACTACTTTTACCAAGGTAAGGGCCCTGGAGGAAAAGGGCTAGGTTGCCTCAGAGGTCTTTAAAGATTTGCGGGCTCTAAGCAGAGGAGGTGTCTCCTAGATCCCCACTGGAGGATTGGATCACTGTGCTTTTTGGCATGGGAAAGGAGAGGCAAGTCTAGCTCTGGATACTTGCGGAGGGGCTGATCCTGAGGGCTAGCTAAGGTTGTCGTGTGACAGAGCCCCTTGTCTTCAGCGGAAGATGGACAGCATATGTTCCTGCACCCTGTGAATGTGCGCTGCCTCGTGCGGGAGTACGGCAGCCTGGAGCAGAGCCCAGAGAAGATCTCAGCAACTGTGGTGGAGATCGCTGGGTACTCCATGTCTGAGGTAAGGTCTTCCTTGAGGACGACACTGGGGTGTGCCGTTAGCTGAGGACGTAGTTAGCGAGCCTGAGTTTTAGACTAAAAACAACGGTGTGATGGTCTCAGTGTTTGTATTTTCAAGTCTCTTTGCTGGTGATGTGGGCACATTTTGTCACCAACTTCCAAATCAGATTTTTTGAATGCTACATAACATGGAACAAGAATAGAAAAGAAAAATCGGTGGGCTTCGTTCTTGTTTCAGGCCAAGTTCCATTCAGCAGAGACATCTGCTTCATCCTACTTCCTAGTCACCATTAGTTCTGTTAGATTCCCAGATTTTTGCCAACAAATACTCCATATGCAGGAGGGTAGTGGTTTGGTTTTTGTTTCGTTTTTAGAGATTTTTTTATTGAAAGGTGGAGTGAGAGGGAGAGAAAGAGATTGCATCTGCTGGTTCACCTCCCACATGCCTGCAATAGCAGAGGCTGGGCCATCTGCTGCCTCCCAAGCACATTAGCAGGAAGCTGGACCTAAAGTGGAGTACTTGGACTCAATCTGGTACTCTGATGTGGGATGCAAACATTGCAAGTAGCAGCTTAACCCACTGTGCCACAGCGTCTGCCTCAACAAATGCTCTTATCCACCCTATTCCGTCCACTACAGTTGTGGACCTAGTAAATTAGAAACACTGGATCAGTCTTTGAGTATTGGTCTCTTTCCTACTGTAGGATGTTCGACAGCGTCACAGATATCTCTCTCATTTGCCACTCACCTGTGAGTTCAGCATCTGTGAACTGGCTCTGCAGCCTCCTGTGGTCTCAAAGGAAACGCTAGAGATATTCTCAGGTGAGCAGGCCTTTGCTCTGCTTCTCCTTCGAGTGGGGGTTCCGCAGCCCTTGGTGGCTGGAAACCTTCAGGAGCTGTATCCTGAGTCTCGGTGCCTCCTGAAACACTCCACCTGTTCCTCTAGTCCAGCTGGGCTTAGCTATTTGTCAACTGAGAAAGGTGAATGCACTGGTTGCCTGGGTGTCTCCTCACAATCTGATCAACCTGCAGATGACATCGAGAAGAGGAAGCGGCAGCGCCAGAAGAAAGCTCGTGAGGAACGGCGCCGCGAACGCAGAATTGAAATGGAGGAGAACAAGAAACAGGGCAAGTGTAAGTTCAGGAACGGTCTTTTTTTTTTTTTTTAATCTATTTGAAAGAGTTACAGAGAGAGGTAGAGACAGAGAGGTCTTCTTCCATCTACTGGTTCACTCCCCAGATGGCTGCAATGGCTGGAGCTACGCCGATCCGGAGCTAGGATCTTCTTCCGGGTCTCCCACGTGGGAGTCCTTGGGCCATCTTCTACTGCTTTCTGAGGCCATAGCAGAGAGCTGGATTGGAAGTGGAGCAGCCGGGTCTTGAACCAGTGCCCATATGGGATGCCGGTGCTTCAGGCCAGGGTGTTAACCTGCTGCGCCACAGCGCCAGCCCCCAGGAACTGTCATCTTTAACTTGACTGCTGTGCATCATCGTTTGGAGGCTCTAGACCGGACCAGAAGCCAGGCTACTTGGGTTCATGTCTCAGCTCTGCCATTTGTTTTCTTCAACTTTTAAATGTGAATGATGAGAGTACTTTCTTTGTAGGCTTTAGAATTGAATGAACTCATTTGAGTTGAAGTGTATGGCATATAGGAGTAAAACCTGTTGAAACCTGTTCCAAGAAAGGGAATTGGAGGCCTGCTGAGAATGCTGTGCTCCCTGAATCACGGACCTCACTTGTGACTCTTGGGGACATCTCTTCATACGAAATTTGCCAGGAGGCTCTGATGTAGTAGATACTTCATGACAAATGAAGAAATACTATCCATGCTCTTTTGTACCAGCAGGCACAGTGACTTTTAATCTACTTCTCCAATATAAGCGTCACAGAATCCATGGGATTAGTGTCACATGAGGGCTAGTTATTCACTAGAAAACAGAATTAAGTCTTAAGTTGAAGGAATGGGAAAAGACTCGTTTACTAAATTCCTTATTGTATGATAGACATAGAAATTCTTCTCAAAGTAGCATAAGTATATAGCTGGGTCACAGCATAAGGATGTTTGGCACATGTCCTTAACTTTAAGAAAACTGATGTTTCAGGAACAGGATTTTCTTCTTTAAATTTTTTTTTATTATAGAAATATTCAGGTAGGAGGAACAGTGTAATACGTTAATCATCCAGTTTCAGTATGAAGAGTTAGAACAAGGCTTTAATATTAAAACAGACAATTACAAATTTGGGTTTGAAAGCTGCTGTCTGCATCCTACAGAGCCTTAGTGGGGAGGTGTGCATGTTGGCTGTCTTCAGCTTTTGGAAAATTCTTGAGGCCTACTTAGTGTTGTCTTTCTTTTGCAGACCCAGAAGTCTACATTCCCCTAGAGAATCTACAGCAGTTTCCTGCCTTCAATTCCTATGCCTGTTCCTCCGATTCTGCTTCGGGTCCCACCAGCACAGAGGGCCAGGAGGCCCTCTCCCTTTCTCCTCTTAGCAGAAGTCCAGGTTCCCATGCAGGTAAATAGAGTTGGGATTTTGTGCGTTCAGCCACTGGTTAGGCCTTAAGCAAAGCCCAGGTGTTTTGAATTTACACCTAGTTGGTGTGGTGTGACCTATAGGCACATAACCTGACTTTGGGTGGTCCTGAGGTGTATCAGGTTCTTCCATTTGATTCACTTTTCTCCTCGGCGGTCCTGACTGCTTAGATCCCCTTCTAAAAGCTTCAAGGCAGCTTGTTACGCAGGATAGTTACACCTGGATTCTTTCCTGTGAACCAGCTGGTTCATCTCTGTTTTCTGAGGTATTCCTTATATGCTGAGTATCTGTGTGTGTCTCTACTGTAGAATTGTTTGTAAGAGCAAAAATAAAAAGAGGAAACAGCCTACTTAACTGAAAGATACTAGGGAAATGGCTAACTTAGAGCATTTTTACTATGAAATACTATACACCTATTGAAGAAAGCAGTAGTTTTCATGAATGAGAAGGTAAAAAGACTATAGAACAAGAATAGACATACCATCTGTGAGTTTTAAAAAAGCTATAACAAAGCCAAGCATTTTGTTTTGTTTGTGTATGTCATGTACAGCTGGTTCACTGTATCCACAGGGTCTGTGTCCATGAGTCAACCACGTATGGATTGAAAATATTTGTGGAAAATAATTGTATCCATACTGAACATGTATAGGCTTTTCTCTTGTCCTTATTCCCTAAACAGCACAGTATAACAGCTATTTACTTAGCATTTATGTTGTAATATATATTATAAGTAATCTAGGGATGATTGAAAGTATGTGAAAGGGTTGGTGTCGTGCAATGGGCATTTTCCATATCAGAGCACTGGTTCAAGTCCCAGCTGTTCTGCGTCCTATCCAGCTCCCTGATAATCTGGGAAAGTAGCAGAGGGTGGCCCAAATACTTTAGCTGCAAACCCAACTGTAGTTTCAGGCTCCTGGTTTTGACCCTAACAGGTCTCAGCTGTTCTGGCCATTTGGGGAGTGAACCAGTGGATGGAAGCTCTCTCCCTGCCTCTTTGTTACTCAGCCTTTTAAGTAAATAACTCAATCTTTAAAATTTTATATATATATATAAATGTATATGGAAGAATGTGGGTACATATTGGCTTTGATATCTGCAGGGGCCCTGGAACCAGTCCCTCACAGATACCAAGGATAACTCTAGAAAAATAGTAGGAAGGGGATATTCCAAACTGGTGATGTCCATATAGCAGTGAGAGCCAGATTGAGAGCTTGTTCCAAAAGACTGTTAGCTTTTTTCCTTTTAATGTGGCGAATATATTAAAGCATTTGGAAATTAAACACTTAAGAGCCACTATAATTTCAGACAGCTCTCTCTGACAGAATGCTTTTTATGCTCAAGACTTAGTTCTGGGTCAGGCATTTTTAACACAATGTCCAAGATCAGAATATTTAAAATAAAAAAAAACTTGATGATCCCTGTAATTTATCTGTCACTTTTTGAATTAGAAACCTGAAGTGAAGCCAGGGATTTCAGACTAGAACCTGATTTTTTTTTTTTTTTTTAAAGATGTATTTATTTAAAGGAGTTAGAGAGGTCTTCCATATGCTGGTTCAGGTTCACTCCCCAAGTGGCTGCAATGGCTGGAGCTGAGCCGATCTGGAGCCAGGAGCTTCTTTTGGGTCTCCCACATGGGTGCAGGGGCCCAAGGACTTGGGCCATTCTCTGCTGCTTTCCCAGGCACATTAGTGGGGAGCTGGATCAGAAGTGGAGCAGCTGAGACATGAACTGGTGCCTACATGGGATGCTGACATTGCAGGCCAGGGCTTTAACATGCTGCACCACAGCACCAGCTGCTAGAACCTGGTTCTCAAAGACTGAACAACTGTGATGCTCTTTGTTTAAATGAGAAGTGAAGTACTAATGAAGGAACTGAACAGATCGTTGGATGCATAATCTTATTTGACGATTGTATTTTCACATACTAGCTTTTCTGATTATGAGCTTCTAATGTATTGAGACAAGAGCAATTATAGGCCCTAGGAATAAAAGTACCAACAGCCAGGGCTAGTGCTGTGGCTCAGTGGGTAAAGCTGTAGCCTATAATGCTGGCATCCCATATGGTTACCAGTTCGAGACCTAGCTGCTCCACTTCTGATCCAGCTCTCTGCTATGGCCTGGAAATGCAGTGGAAGATGATCCAAGTCTTCGGACTTCTACACTCGTGTGGGAGAACTAGAAGAAGCCCTTGGCTCCTGGCTTTGGATTGGCCTGGCTCTGGCTTTTGTAGCCTTTTGGGGACTAAGGCAGCAGATGGATAGATCTCTCTCTGCCTCTGTCTCTCTGTACCTCTGCCTTTCAATTAAATAAATCTTTTTTTTAAAAAAAGGTACTAACAGCCTTGGGTGACTGTAGAAGAGGCCTGCTGCTGGAGGAGTGCCAGGTGCTCAGGGTGCAGGACACATGAGGTTGTGGGAAATGCTCAGCCCTGGAAAGTTGGCTTTATTGTGCTGGGGTTTGTTGATGTGTATGTCTTGGATCCTAACTGAATATTTCCAGGTCGTAGACACCTACTGGCTGGAACATAAAGGCTGACCTGATTTTTAATTCATTTTTAAGCATTTATTTATTTGAAAGGCAGAGTGATAGAAAGTAGATATCTTCTGTCTGCAGCCGTCACTCCTCAAATGCCCTTAACAGCCAGGGCTGGGCCAGGCTGAAGCCAGGAGCCAGGAACTCCACCCAGGTCTCCCACATGAGGGGCAGGGATCCAAGAGCTGGGGCTATCTGCTGCTGCTCTCCCAGGCACATTAGTAATGATATGTGGCAGTGTGAGGCAGAGCAGCTAGAACTCGAACCTGCACTCTGATACGGGTGCCACTGTCAAGTGGTGACTTAACCCACTGCACCCCAATTCCAGCCCCCTGTTTTATCTTTTTCTTTCATAAGTATAAAAACCAGTCCATGACAGAATACCAAGGCCTAAATTGGCCTTTGTGGAAAGGGTAGCACACTTCTTAAAGTTTTATGTAATACTGTGGGAATAGATTGCACCATGACTTGTGGTGTTACTGTATTCATGGAGCTTTTTCTCCATATTGGTCACTGATGTAATAAGTGATTTTCTTTTTAAAGATTTATTTATTTGAAAGAGTTACAGAGAGAAACAGATATCATCCATCCGCTGGTTCACGCCCCAGATGGCTGCAACAGCTGGGGCTGGGCCAGGTGGAAGCCAGGAGCTTCCTCTGGGTCTCCCATGCGGGTGCAGGGTCCCAAGCACTTGGGCCATCCTCCACTGCTTTCCTAGGCCTTAAGCTGGAGTTGGAGCAGCTGGGACTCCAACTGGTGCCCATAGGGGATGTCGGTGTCAGTTTTAGCTGCCATACCACAACGCCAGCCCAATAAGTGTTCTTGACTTTATAAGAACATGGCAGAGAAACTTGTTTTGCTTTATGGGGGTGGGGGCTTGTAATTATCCAGACCTGATTTAGGGTTAATCTCTCTTGTTGCAGATACTAGGTCTTTGGAACTTGACTTATGCAATCGGATCTCTGGTTCCATTTCAGACTTTCTGCTGACCCCTCTGTCACCCACTGCCAGTCAGGGCAGTCCCTCATTCTGCG